AAAATTTGTAAAAAAATAATTAATTATTTATGCTAAATATTGAATATCTTGGATTTAATTTTTTAAAAATTAAATTCCCAAATTAAGATTGTAGTTTCCTTAAGAAAGAAAGAGAGTCATTGATACTTGTGTTATATAGGATGAGAAAGTGTATAGATTTCAAAAGTTGATAATGCAATGAGTTTGGTATTTGTACCTTCAATATCCCTTTTATAATTCTAATGTGTAGTTTGATAAAAATTGCATCTTTTAATTTCTTTTCGAAATATAAATTGTAACAAGTATCATTAATAACCGGCACCAAGAGGTGTCAACGCGTATTTAAAGTTCATTTTTATCGATAAAAACGAGATTATGCTCCACGTAAATGAGTAGGTTTATCGAGTAATTACTTTGTAATTTTCTCGAAACATGAGAATAAGGTATAGTTAGTTTTAAAGAATCAGTTTGCTGATAAATAAGTGTTTGTTGATTTCTAGCAATAAGGTTATGGAGGATTTTTCTTTGAAATCTTTTCGTATTAGTGACTTTTAATCGGATCCTGAAGAAATTTAGTTTTGATGTACGAGAATTTATCCGAAAATACTTTGTTTGATAAACGATAAATAGAAGACGATTAAGCTACCATTTCGGTTAACTAAGTTTAGGAATTAATTGGTATACTCGTACCAATTATTTGTGTTTCTGATCTCAGGGGAAAAATCGAGTTTTTACCCACCCACCTCTTTTACTTGGATTAAATTTAAAGCAGATGATGCATTTATGTATGTACGTATATAGTTGATGCAAGAAGAACGAAGGTGAGTGCGTGGAATCTGACTCGAATTTTCTCTTCCAAACTGAGCAGGAAGATGGAGATGGAACGAAATTCTCGGACCATGAACCAGACAAGATAGCCATGGAAACAGACAGCAGCACGCCTGCGCTGTACAGCGACAAGGAAAAGCTGAGATCAAAGAAGCTGAAAATGAAGCTTGAGAAGAAAAAACGTCGAAGAAAAGAAGAGTGGGAGATTGCGGAAAGCATTAGATGGCTAGCGGAAGTTGTTGTGAGATCGGAACAAGCAAGAATGGAGACAATGAAGGAGATCGAAAAAATGAGGGCGGAAGCAGAAGCGAAACGGGGGGAGATGGATTTAAAACGAACCGAGATCATCGCCAGCACCCAATTGGAGATTGCCAAGATATTTGCAGCTACAAGTAAAGGTAGTGTTGATTCATCATTAAGAATTGGAAGAAGTTAATGATGAATCATG